GGGGGGATTTAAAATGACAACTTTTTCACAAAAAATTTACTTTTTCAACATAACTTTTGAAAATGTTCCGGAAGGTCTGACACTTTTATATATATCTTAAATTAAAGCTAATGTAATATACTTTAATTTGAAAAAAAAAAAATTTGATCTCTGGACTTGTCTTCACGGCGAAAATGGCTACCGAATGCTATTTTCGTATGAAAATTCTCGTTTTTATTATTTATATAATATTTAACTTTATAATGCTATAACTTATTGAAAAGTTAATGGATCCACACAATTTTTTTATGAGAAATAATATTTTTAATAAACCCTTTTTCATTTGACATACTTTATCTTTATCGAGATATTAATAAGAAACCAGCAGATCAAGTAGCTTTTGGAATAAAACACCAATTTTTTAAAATTAAACACTATCTAAAGATTTGCATCGAAGCGTTTATTTTTGATAGTGATTTTAATCACTGTCAGATATCATTATACTTGATCCAACTATACTACGTTACAACTGTGCCGTGACCCCCCTGTGCTGGGTTTTTTAATAATAGGTCTTCAGTTTGTAATATTATAATGAAATTTATTATTAGGAAATGAAAAATTTAGAGAGTAATTATATTATATTTATTCACTCACAATTTTCCAATAAGTAAAAATAAAACAATAGAATTTATTTTATTTAAAGAAAAAAATTTTAAATAATTTTTTTTAAATTTTCTATTAATTTTTAATACAATTTTTTTGTCAATGATTATTTCCCTTATGTACCTTTTCGTTTAGGTATAAAATAATTAATATCTTCTTAACTAAATGCTTAAAAATGTTCCGACCGGTATTTTTTATAGAAAAATTATTTTACAATAAATAAAGTGAATGTGATGTTGTCATTAGTGTCTTTTATAAACCCAACCTATACATTTTTTTGTCAGTGAGTATTTCTCTGATGTACTTTTCCATATAGGTATAAAATAATAAACATCTTTTGAACTAAATGCTTAAAAATGTTACGACCTGTTTTTTTCATAGTTAAATTATTTTACAATAAATTAGATAAATTTGATGTTGTCATTAGTGACTTTTATAAGTTACTAAAGATGGTTTTAAATATTACTTCATTTAAATAAAAAAATATGTACAATTGATAACATGACAAAACTAAAATCTGAATATTGTTCTTGTTTCAGAGATAATTGAGTAGTTCACAAGAATAAAGAAATTACACTTTAATGTCAATAAAACATACCTGGATTTACAAATATTATATTATAATTTAAATATTCATTAAAAGATTCTTCATCACGAAAATGTTTTTTAATGTCATCATTTGTATTTATGCTCTAGATTTATAATATATAAAACAATTTAATATATTAGTAATAATTGTATTTTAAATGATATATTTTAACATACTAAACAAATGTTTTTTTGTAGTAATGTACTAAATTTTGTATCTCCACATATAACGTTAGACAATACTTTGTATAGATCTTGATATTTGTACTTTTGATAATAAGCTAACACAAATGGCATATATTTTATAAACGTATATCCCAAGTTTTCACATGTGTTTTTTCCATTCTTCATCTACTGGCTTGAATTTAAATTTAAAATTTAATGTAACACCATAATAATCTATTTCTGTTTTATTATCCATCTTAACAATTGTTAAATATGTTATTATCTGCAAATAATAAAAAAATTCTTAACATAATTATCGAGATGAAGTTCAAAGAATTATACATTAAGTATAAACTCAATATATTTACATCTTAGCACATAGGGTTTGAACTCTTTCTTGTAAGGCATTAACGTTAACGCTAGAGACAAGTTGATACACTTGATTTTAAAATATTGAACAAATACAAAGCCTGATGGTACTCATACGTGTTAGTTAACGTTAGTTCTTTTATTTTGTTTGAAGTCAGGCTTTGTCAATGTAAAGAAATAAGATAAGTGAGCTGTATGAATGAATGTAAAATGAATTTTCAAAACATATAACTTATAAATATATTATACATTAATCATAAAATCAAATAACTTCCAATTTGGGTAGGGGAACTTTTAATAGTAATGCCACAATGGCACTGATATAAACAAATAATAAATTACAAATAGATTTATAAAGCATTGACACGAATAATATATATTTAACTCGATGTCTAATAGATATTGAATTATAGACAACTGAATAATGAGTGGTGAATCTATTATTACAATAAATCTTAAAATGAAGATGAACAAGAATTATTCTTATCAGCTAATTGTAACGACTGATGATATTGCTGAATATTAAATGGATCAATTGAAATCAAATGCAATTAACTGATCAACATGTTCTATAACTGGTGAATGATACTGTGATTTATATCAGAAAACAAAAAGTCCCAAAGGCAATTTACTGAGAGCGCAATAGAGTGCGACAATCGCAAAGATGATATTTTACTTTTTATAAAAAACTATGGTCTCGCAAGTTCTATAGATCTTATAGCTAAAACACGCTAAGATGGTGGCAAAAATGCAGACATAGACAGAAGACCGACAACTATTCAGTTAACCACAACGATAGCTTAAATAATCACAACTCAAATTCTTGACAGCACATTCGATCCATGTGTATCCAACACCAAAATTGTCCAAACGCTAGATCGCCTAGTATTTTATATCATTATAACACTTGCAATTATCTCATCGTCACTATGTTTATTTATATATTAAGGAGCCTCACATAAGCCTTTATGCCATTGATTCCAGTAGGAGTACACGTTTACGACGGGCACTATAAGTGTTTTGCAGGAAAAATATTACATCTGAATCAGTGGAAGAAAAATATATTAAAAATTAAATTATTAAAACCAGGAAATTTTAAAAAGAGAATATAGTAAAATGTATTGTGTATAAGGTCGACGTTTGTTAATGAGGTATTCCCCTTAGGCGTATTCAGCAATTATTTTAGGACAGTATTTAATATAATTTTACTTTTTTAAATTTACTATAGAATTTTTTTTTTGCTAAAAATCAAAATGATTATTTAAAAAAACGGTAGCACAGTGGGATCGCGCCACAGTGTGAACGAGGCATAGATGGGACAAGTATAGATGATATCTGACAGTGATTAAAATCACTATCATAAGAAACCCTTCGATGCAAATCTGTAGATAGTGTTTCATTTAGAGAAATTGGTGGATTATTCCAAAAGCAACATCAACTCTTATTCCCACTGTGCTGGGTTTTTTATTATCGGTTCAATCCATGCAAATCATCCAGAATCGGTTGCACGACCACCTGATATTTTTCTGAAATTTTCAGGGTTTATTCATTATGCTATTGTCGTAACACAGTAAAATAAACAGATGGTCGGTGTAAATGTGTAATGTGTGTACGAAGATGAATATGAGGATGTGGTGCCTGTTGTCTAGGTATTCACGTGCGTGTTGTCGTACAGCAAACACCGTGCTCGGCTGACACTCCGGGTTAGCTGTAGGTGTCGAAAGGCTGTTGTTATAGGAAGGGAATAAGGGTAACACCTAGTTGTAAGGTGCAGACGAAGTGCAAGACACAAATACTTCAAAGAGAGAACGGGGTAGCCGAGTATAAGGTGCAGACGAAGTGCAAGACACAAATACTTGGCGTACCAGGTGAGGAAAAATAACAGAGTACGAGGTGCAGACGAAGTACAAGACACAAGTACTCTGAAATGTTGTGGAAGAGAGTAGATAGGTTTAAAAAGGAATAAACAAAGACTTTACTTTAAGCAGTAAGCCGGACAGCGACAACCGAGTACTGAGACTGATGAATGACACAAGGCACTGGAGTCGACTGACCACGATGGTCAGGTCTATTAGGTTTTTATAATAATTAGAACTATTGCCGATTTGGCAATAAATATTATTTGTTAATTCATCAGACTCAGGAAGCGGATATGCTGTTTGTATTTTATTAAAATAATTCTCACAATAATGGTAACGTGACACCATCACACTATATTTAGATTAAAACAATTTTTTTTTTATGATTTTCCCATTTTTATGGCTACTTTAATGTAAAAAAAAGTTAAAAATAGCTAAATCGTTAAAAAAACACAGAGATTATTCAATTTCAACTCAATCGAAATAAAATTTTAGATTCGACCCTATTATAACTTAAACTTTACATTAAAAAAAAAAAAAAAAAATTAATGTGTAATTCTAAACTTTAATGACTTTCGAAAAATTTTTACTTAAAACTATCATAACTTTTTTTCTTAAAACTGCCTTTACTTTTTCAAATATTAACAAATCAAAATAATATTTTTTCATTATAAAACCTTAGATATTTCCTTTTCATTTGATATCATTTTTTTGAAAATCTAACACTTATACTGCTCATTGAGGGATATTTAAAATAGCAAATTTTTTACGAAAACTAACTTTTTCAACTTAATTTTTGAAAATGTTCCAGAAATACTGCGTCTTTTAAACATATATCAAATCAAAGGTTATGTTATATACTATAAACTGAAAAAAAAAAATTGTCCTGACACTTATTCTACTATGTGCAAATAGCTGTCGAAATTAAAAAAAAAATGTATTATTTGCGATAAAAATCACCTTCCATAAGGATGATTTTTGTTCTTAAAACTGCCTTTACTTTTTCAAATATTAACAAATCAAAATAATATTTTTTTATAATAAAACCTTAGATATTTCCTTTTCATTTGATATCATTTTTTTGAAAATCTAACACTTATTTACTCACATGGGGGATTTAAAATAGCAACTTTTATACAAAAACTAACTTTTTCAACTTAACTTTTGAAAATGTTCCGGAAATACTGCGGAAAGAAAGCAAATACTTCCTCTCGAAGTTTAGAAACTTCGTCCATAGTTTCATTAGAATTTTTATTTTTAGGCATCCCGAACTGTTATATAATCAAAAGGTTTTACAAATTAAAATTGATGTTGGAATCCGATTAACTAGATTTCGCGAAAACATACAAAGAAAAATTGCGCGTTTGCTCAACCAAAATGGAGTCGTATACTAATACAATTACAAAAACGTTTTATATATTTTCGTCACTAACAACACTTATTATATACACGACAAATAGTTTGAAATTTTCCGGATTTTGAGTATACAAGATATCTTCTTCAATCTCTATTCCCGTTTGTTGACCGATGATCCCGGACAGACCCCCAAGAAATGTGGGAAATACAACAGGCAACCACAGGAACAGAACAAAGACGCGATATCATTATTTTATTTATATATATATGTAATTTTGTTCAATAATAAGTTGATCGATTCTACAATAAAGTGGTTTATTAATATTAAATTGTATAACAAATACACACATAAACAATACACAATAAAGAATCGATAATTTAAAACTTATTACTGTATACTCTTTAAATTATATAAAATAAAAATAATTATAAATTATTAAAAATGTTACCATAGATTTTACACCTTAAATCTATATGATAATACAAATTACAACAGTGGTCAAGGTGTCCCTATAAACAGTGCCGCCACTGTTATATATATTTATTAATACACAAAAGCTCTATTAAATATTAACAAACAAAAATAAAATATATATTTAATTATACACGAAAACAATGTAAAAAATTCACACAACACAAAAATAATATATAAAGCAGAACACATATATAAAATAAAAATGTACATAGAGATACGTTTTAGCCAACTCACGACTTGATTTAATATTCCCTTCTTATAATACTTAATGATACCACTATCTACCTCCAGACTCTGGAAGTGGTGCCATCTAGACACCAATGGTACCCATATTTATATCTTCTTCCTCTTTTTAATCCCAACTACTTGGGGTCAGCTTAGAAGATACATTTATATCTTTAACATAATCACAGTTTGTTAAAATTTTAATGAGAATTCAATAATTTTGAATTACATACACCAAAGTTGTATTAACTGTATAGTAACTATTCTGTGTTTTTTAATTTTATAAGTATATTTGTTTACTTATTTTAAAAGAGATAATAATAAAAATATTAATTTTGACGTCTTGATTCCTCGGCCATTCTATTACTTATAGTGTTAGGATAGCTTTCTACAACTTCATTAATTTCAGTTGATGCAAAATATTCTGCTTGGTTTTTTGATGTATTTATATTTCCCAAATTATTTTCTCGGCTCAAATTCTTTTGAATATCTCTCACGTGATTCTTTTTCATGATCTGCGCAGGGTGACGAATGTACTTTTTATTTCTTGTTTCTAAAATCTTTAAATGTTTTACTACAGATTTCTTATAATGTTTTGTCACTATAAACAAATACAATTTTAATTAATAATTGTCGTCTCATTGTAGTTTTCCAAGTGTCCATCAACCACTTGCTTTATTTCGCTCATGTTCCAAATAATGATAATATATTCACATAAATTTCTGATCTTATAGTTTGAACAATACGTTTCTACAATTTATTTATTTCTTAGTATATTAGTGCATGTTATTCATTTTTAATTAATTATAAAATTTAATAAAAAAATATTTGTTTGAGTGTTCCTTTAACTAAAATTTAAAAGAATAACATTACAAGTGTCAGAAGTAGACAACAGAATATGGACGATTGTATAGTACAGAAAGCCTATAGAAGAATCT